CTGAACACATAGTAGCTGCCCCAGAGCTAATGGACAGGGGAACATGCCAGGAGGACGCGCCGCGAAACGTCCCAAGGGATGCGCCAGGCGACGTGCCAGGGGACGTGCCATGGGGTCGCACCGCGGGACGTGCCAAGGGGACGCGCTACGGAACGTGCCAATGGATGTGCCACGGGATGTGCCAGGGGACGCGCCACGCGACGTGCCAGGGGGACTCGCCAAAGGACGCCCCACGGAACGTGCCAAGGAACGTGCCAAGTTGCAATGCTGAGTGTATCGACCTTGATGTACCGTGCCGAAATCAGTGCTGTGCTGCGCCGTGCTGAATTGCGATGTGCCATGGCGCGATTGTGCTCTATAGCCTCGTGGATCGAGTCCTCCTTTGCATCCGAGTCCTGACCGAACTGATCTGGATCTTAAGCTCGAGCTGCCTGAACACATAGTAGCTGCCCCAGAGCTAATGGACAGGGGAACATGCCAGGAGGACGCGACGCAGAACGTCTCAAGGGACGCGCCAAGCGACGTGCCAAGGGACGTGCCATGGGGACGCACCGCGGGACGTGCCAAGGGGACGCGCTACGGAACGTGCTGGGGACAAGCGTTTCGCTCGAGACATCCTGTCAAAATCATCTGAATTCCTACGCGCGGGACGCTGCACGCGCGAGACATCCTCGGAATTCCTGCGAGCGGGACGTGATAACAAGCATTTCGCCTGAGACATCCTTTGAATTCTGGCCCCCCACAAGGCCACCGCTCGAGACATCCTCCAATTTTGCAAAACCAGCGTTTCGCTCGAGACATCCTCAACAAATTATGAAAAACAAGCGTTTCGCTCGAGACATCCTGTCAAAATCCAAAGAAATCGAAATACCCGCGCGCGGGACGCGGCACGCGCGAGACATCCTCAGGAATTCCTGCGCGAGGGGCGCTTTTCCGTGTCGCGGTCGGCTCTGCAAAACCAGCGTGTCGCTCGAGACATCCTCAACAAATTCTGAAACCAAGCGTTTCGCTCGAGACATCCCCAACTCTGCAAAACCAGCGTCTCGCTCGAGACATCCTCAACAAATTCTGAACATGATGGACCCACGAACCCGGAAAGGGATATAGACATGTGCAGCATGGTCACGTTTTCACGATATCCAACTGGGCGACACCTCACGAAACATCCCACGAGACACCCCGCGAAACATCCCAGGAGACACCTCACGAAACAACCCACGAGACACCTCACGAAACATTCCACGAGACACCCCGTGAAACATTCCACGAGACACCCCACGAACAGGCAACCACTCAACCAGACACCCCACGAAACATTCCACGGGGGTGCGACTGGGTGTGGTCGTGCTGGGGTGTGGTCGTGCTGGAGTATGGTCGTGTTGGGGTGTGGTCGTGCTGGGGTGTGGTCGTGCTGGGGTGTGGTCGTGCTGGGGTGTGGTCGTGCTAGGGGGGTGGTCGTGCTGGGGGGTGGTCGTGCTGGGGCGTGGTCGTGCTGGGGCGTGGTCGTGCTGGGGCGGTGTGCTCGTGGTCGTGCTGGGGCGTGGTCGTGCTGGGGCGTGGTCGTGCTGGGGTGTGGTCGTGCTGTGGTGAGGTCGTGCTGGGGTGTGGTCGTGCTGGGGTGTGGTCTTGCTGGGGTAGGGTCGTGCTGGGGTGGGTCGTGCTGGGGTGTGGTCGTGCTGGGGTATGGTCGTGCTGGTGTGGGGTCGTGCTGGGGTGTGGTCGTGCTAGGGGGGGTAGTGCTGGGGTGGGTCGTGCTGGGGTTTGTCGTGTGGGGTGTGGTCGTGCTGGGGTGGGGCGTGCGGGGGCGTGGTCGTGCTGGGTGGGGTCGTGCTGGGGTGGGGTCGTTTGCTGGGGTGTGTCGTGCTGGGGTTTCCGGAAACCTGGAGTATCGATCGGGTCGGGCTGGTGTGGTCGTGCTGGGTTGTGGTCGTGCTGGGGAGTGGTCGTGCTGGGGTGTGGTCGTGCTGGGGGGGTCGTGCTGGGGGGTGGTCGTGCTGGGGGGTGGTCGTGCTGGGGGGTGGTCGTGCTGGGGCGTGGTCGTGCTGGGGCGTGGTCGTGCTGGGGCGTGGTCGTGCTGGGGTGTGGTCGTGCTGTGGTGAGGTCGTGCTGGGGTGTGGTCGTGCTGGGGTGTGGTCTTGCTGGGGTAGGGTCGTGCTGGGGTCGGGTCGTGCTGGGGTGTGGTCGTGCTGGGGTATGGTCGTGCTGGGGTGGGGTCGTGCTGGGGTGGGGTCGTGCTGGGGTCTGGTCGTGCTGGGGTGTGGTCGTGCTGGGGATGGTCGTGCTAGGGTGGGGTCGTGCATTTCGCTCGAGACATCCTGCCAAAATTCCAGGAAATCGTACAAAAGCAAACGAATTAGTCGAGACATCATCGAAATTCCTTCGCGCGGGGCGCTTTTCCGCGTCGCGGTCGGCTCTGCAAAACAAGCGTTTCGCTCGAGACATCCTCGGCAAACTCTGCGGAGCAAGCGTTTCGCTCGAGACATCCTCAACACACGAAAAAGTGGCCCGCACCCTGTGATTTATCGATCGGGATTTCAAAAACAAGCGTTTCGCTCGAGACATCCTCAAATTTTAATTCGCCGGCCTCCTTCGACCTCGTTATTATCAGGGAAAAAATTCGCCGGCCTCCTTCAAGTTGGCACCGGGGGACAGGTTTACCCACTAAAATGATGGACCCACGAACCCGGAAAGGGATATAGACATGTGGAGCATGGACACGTTTTCATGATACCCAACTGGGCAACACCTCACGAAACATCCCACGAGACACCACACGAAACAGCCCACGAGACACCTCACGAAACATTCCACGAGACACCTCACGAAACATTTCACGAGACACCCCGCGAAACATTCCACGAGACACCCCACGAAACATTCAACGACGACAGGCAACCACTCAACCAAGGCGGTGTGGTCGTGCTGGGGAGTGGTCGTGCTGGGGTGTGGTCGTGCTGGGGGGTGGTCGTGCTGGGGCGTGGTCGTGCTGGGGGGTGTGGTCGTGCTGGGGGGTGGTCGTGCTGGGGCGTGGGGCGTGCTGGGGCGTGGTCGTGCTGGGGCGTGGTCGTGCTGGGCGTGGTCGTGCTGGGGGTGGTCGTGCTGGGGCGTGGTCGTGCTGGGGTGTGGTCGTGCTGTGGTGGTCGGCTGGGGTGCGGTCGTGCTGGGGTGTGGTCTTGCTGGGGTGGGGTCGTGCTGGGGTGTGGTCATGCTGGGGTGGGGTCGTGCTGGGGTGTGGTCGTGCTGGGGTGTGGTCGTGCTAGGGTGGGGTCGTGCTGGGGTGGGGTCGTGCTGGGGAGTGGTCGTGCTGGGGTGTGGTCGTGCTGGGGTGTGGTCGTGCTGGGGCGTGGTCGTGCTGGGGTGTGGTCGTGCTGGGGTGGGGTCGTGCTGGGGTGGGTTCGTGCTGGGGTGCTCCGCACCCTGTGATTTATCGATCGGGTCGTGCTGGGGTGTGGTCGTGCTGGGGTGTGGTCGTGCTGGGGTGTGGTCGTGCTGGGGTGTGGTCGTGCTGGGGTGTGGTCGTGCTGGGGTGTGGTCGTGCTGGGGGGTGGTCGTGCTGGGGGGGTCGTGTCGTGCTGGGGGGTGGTCGTGCTGGGGCGTGGTCGTGCTGGGGCGTGGTCGTGCTGGGGGGTGGTCGTGCTGGAGGTGGTCGTGCTGGGGAGTGGTCGTGCTGGGGTGTGGTCTTGCTGGGGTAGGGTCGTGCTGGGGTCGTGCTGTCGTGCTGGGGTGTGGTCGTGCTGGGGTATGGTCGTGCTGGGGTGGGTCGTGCTGGGGTGGGGTCGTGCTGGGTCTGGTCGTGCTGGGGTGTGGTCGTGCTGGGGTATGGTCGTGCTAGGTGGGGTCGTGCATTTCGCTCGAGACATCCTGCCAAAATTCCAGGAAATCGTACAAAAACAAACGAATTAGTCGAGACATCATCGAAATTCCTTCGCGCGGGGCGCTTTTCCGCGTCGCGGTCGGCTCTGCAAAACCAGCGTTTCGCTTGAGACATCCTCAGCAAATTCTGAAAACAAGCGTTTCGCTCGAGACATCCTCAACTCTGCAAAACCAGCGTTTCGCTCGAGACATCCTCAAGAAATTCTGAAAAACAAGCGTTTCGCTCGAGACATCCTCAAATTTTAATTCGCCGGCCTCCTTCGACCTCGTTATTTATCAGGGAAAAAATTCGCCGGCCTCCCTCAAGTTGGCACCGGGGGACAGGTTTACCTACTAAAAGAGAACCCTGGGCCAAAGCCCTTTCCGGGAAAAGAGAACCCTGGGCCCACGCCCTTTCCGGGAAAAACAAGCGTTTCGCTCGAGACATCCTCAAAAATAATTTCGGCGGCCCTCTTCCCGCACGTAATTTATCGCAGAATAATTTCGCCGGCCCACCTCCCGTCGAAACCGGAGGGTAAACAGCTAAAAGAGAACCCTGGACCCACGCCCTTTCCGGGAAAAAATGGGCGACCTCGCGAGACTGTCCCCCTCCCCCTCATGAGCGTGTCCCCCCCCCCCCCCCATGAGGCCGTGAGCCTGTCCCCCCCCCCCCGCCCCCGCTCCCATGAGCCTGTTCCCGCCCCCCCCCCCGTGAGAAATGTTGCCCCCCCCTGAGCCTGCCCCCCCCCCCGCCCTCGCTGGGGAAACCAAAACCGTGCACACACCGCTGCTCCCCGGACTTCTCCCGGGGGCGCGCTCGGGCCAGGACTTCGAGGCGGATCCATCGGTGGCAGCGAGGGCCTCCCAGGAGGCCCGGAAAGGGGAAAACGAGGGAAGGGCAGCAGTGCTCCCCTGCGATCCGACGCTGCAGACAAATGGCAACATCACACAGAGAATCGCGCCCGGAGCCCCAGACCCCAGCTCTCTGCGTCGTTTCTCGGGCCGGATATCGATCTGGGAGGGCCCCGGGGCGCGAGACTCCGCGGAAACGCCCGTGGTGAAAGCATGGCAGCGCCAGGGTCTCAGGGCCTTCCTCCTCTGGCGAGCACCGCCCTCGAGGAAGGTGCCCGCGGCTGGAGGCCGAGGGCCTGTAGTTCCGCAGGCTCTGCGCCACGGCCGCGGCGGACTGATCCACCGTCGTCGTGCGCACCGCGCCCCCGCGCGCCGCGGCGATCGCGAAGCCGCCCGTGTAGGAGAAGAGGTCCAGGACGCTGCAGCCCTTCGGGGGGGACCGCCCAGGCTCCATCCGCGCTGTGAGGAGGGAACATAAAACTACCCTGTGACGTACCCAACCCATTTGTATAAATGGAAACGAGGAGTTGGCCGAAACTTGTATGGACAATCAACTTGATGTGTAAGCTACTTGGGAGGCGTCACTGTGCTGGGCCCCGCAAGCAGGCCTCGAAAGGGGCGACAATTTCACAGATCGCAGCCCCCCAGGGATGGCGAGGTCTAATTTGAATCTGCGTGTGGCGTCACTGTGCTGGGCAGGCCGCGAAAGTGGCGACAGTTTCACAGATCGCAGCCCCCCAGGGATGGCGAGGTCCCATTTGAATCCGCCGTGGATACACACTGTGCTGGGCCCCCCAGCAGGCCTCGAAAGTGGCGACAGTTTCACTGATCGCAGCCCCCCAGGGATGGCGAGGTCCCATTTGAGTCCGCCGTGGGTACCCACTGTGCTGGGCCCCCCGCAGGCACCTCGAATGTGGCGACATTTCCAGATCTCAGCCTCCCCAACGATGGCGTCGGTCCCATTTGAGTCCGGCCGTGGGTACCCCTGTGCTGGGCCCCTGGGCCGCCCCAGCACCTCGAAGTGGCGAAAGTTTCACAGTTTCACATATTGCAACCCCCCAGGGATGGCGAGGTCCCATTTGAGTCCGCCGTGGGTACCCACTGTGCTGGGCCCCCCAGCAGGCCTCGAATGTGGCGACAGTTTCACAGATCGCAGCCCCCCAACGATGGCGAGGTCCCATTTGAGTCCGCCGTGGGTACCCACTGTGCTGGGCCCCCCGGCAGGCCTCGAAAGAAGCGACAATTTCACAGATCGCAGCCCCCCAAGGACGGCGAGGTCCCATTTGAGTCCGCCGTGTGTACCCACTGTGCTGGGCCCCCCAGCAGGCCTCGATTGTGGCGACAGTTTCACAGATCGCAGCCCCCCAGGGATGGCGAGGTCCCATTTGAATCCGCCGTGGGTGCCCACTGTGCTGGGTCCCCCAGCAGCCCTCGAAAGTGGCGACAATTTCGCAGATCGCAGCCCCCCAGGGATGGCGAGGTCCAATTTGAGTCCGCCGTGGGTACCCTCTGTGCTGGGCCCCCCAGCAGGCCTCGAAAGTGGCGACAGTTTCACAGATCGCAGCCCCCCAGGGATGGCGAGGTCCAATTTGAATCCGCCGTGTGTACCCACTGTGCTGGGCCCCCCAGCAGGCCTCGAAAGTGGCGACAGTTTCACAGATCGCAGCCCCCCAGGGATGGCGAGGTCCAATTTGAGTCCGCCGTGGGTACCCACTGTGCTGGGCCCCCCAGCAGGCCTCGAAAGTGGCGACAGTTTCACAGATCGCAGCCCCCCAGGGATGGCGAGGTCTAATCTGAATCCCCGTAGGACGTCACTCCGCTGGGCCCCCCAGCGGCCTCGAAAGTGGCGACAGTTTCACAGATCGCAGCCCCCCAGGGATGGCGAGGTCCCATTTGAGTCTGCGGTGGGTACCCACTGTGCTGGGCCCCCCCAGCAGGCCTCGAAAGTGGCGACAGTTTCACAGATCGCAGCCCCCCAGGGATGGCGAGGTCCCATTTGAGTCTGCCGTGAGTACCCACTGTGCTGGGCCCCCCAGCAGGCCTCGAAAGTGGCGACAGTTTCACAGATCGCAGCCCCCCCCCAGGGACGGCGAGGTCTGATTTGGGTCTGCGCGTGGCGTCACTGTGCTGGGCCCCCCAGCAGGCCTCGAAAGTGGCGACAGTTTCACAGATCGCAGCCCCCCCAGGGATGGCGAGGCCTAATTTGAATCTGCGTGTGGCGTCACTGTGCTGGGCCCCCCAGCAGGCCTCGGAAGTGGCGACAGTTTCACAGATCGCAGCCACCCAGGGATGGCGAGGTCCCATTTGAAGTCCGCGTGGGTAACCCACTGTTCTGGGCCCCCCAGCAAGGCCGCGAAAGTGGCGACAGTTTCACAGATCGCAGCCCCCCAGGGATGGCGAGTCCAATTTGGATCTGCGCTGTGGTACCCACTGTGGCTGGCCCCCCAGCAAGGCCACTCGAAAGTGGCGACCAGTTTCACATATCGCAGCCCCGAGTCTGGCAGCAGCGCGAGCGAGGAGAGCGAGGCAAAAGCAAGGGAAAAGGGAAGGAAGGAAGGAAGGAGAAAGGAACGCGCGAGTCATGCTCTATTCAAAACGAGAACTCCGAAACGCAGGAGGGTTGGAACACAATCACGACAGGAGGTGTTTCGCCAGTCTCGGCCTCGTCTGGTGGGCCTGGACAGCCCTCGGTACGCGTCAAACATGATGGACCCACGAACCCGGAAAGGGATATAGACATGTGGAGCATGGGCACGTTTTCACGATACCCAACGGGGCAACACCTCACGAAACCTCCCACGAGACACCTCACGAAACATCCCACGAGACACCTCACGAAACATTCCGCGAGACACCTCACGAAACATTCCAGGAGACACCCCGCGAAACAGTCCACGAGACACCCCACGAAACAGTCCACGACGACAGGCAACCACTCAACCAAGGCGGTGTGGTCGTGCTGGGGAGTGGTCGTGCTGGGGTGTGGTCGTGCTGGGGGGTGGTCGTGCTGGGGCGTGGTCGTGCTGGGGGGGTGGTCGTGCTGGGGGTGGTTGTGCTGGGGCGTGGTCGTGCTGGGGCGTGGTCGTGCTGGGGCGTGGTCGTGCTGGGGTGTGGTCGTGCTGTGGTGAGGTCGTGCTGGGGTGTGGTCGTGCTGGGGTGTGGTCTTGCTGGGTGGGGTCGTGCTGGGGTGGGGTCGTGCTGGGGTGTGGTCGTGCTGGGGTGTGGTCGTGTTGGGGTGGGGTCGTGCTGGGGTGGGGTCGTGCTGGGGTGTGGTCGTGCTGGGGTGTGGTCGTGCTGGGGTGTGGTCGTGCTAGGGTGGGGTCGTGCTGGGGTGGGGTCGTGCTGGGGTGTGGTCGTGCTGGGGTGTGGTCGTGCTGGGGTGTGGTCGTGCTGGGGCGTGGTCGTGCTGGGGTGGGGTCGTGCTGGGATGGGGTCGTGCTGGGGTGTGGTCGTGCTGGGGTGGTCCGCACCCTGTGATTTATCGATCGGGTCGTGCTGGGGTGTGGTCGTGCTGGTGCTGGGGTGTGGTCGTGCTGGGGTGTGGTCGTGCTGGGGTGTGGTCGTGCTGGGGCGTGGTCGTGCTGGGGTGTGGTCGTGCTGGGGCGTGGTCGTGCTGGGGTGTGGTCGTGCTGTGGTGATGTCGTGCTGGGGTGTGGTCGTGCTGGGGCGTGGTCTTGCTGTGGTGAGGTCGTGCTGGGGTGTGGTCGTGCTGGGGCGTGGTCTTGCTGGGGTGGGGTCGTGCTGGGGTGGGGTCTTGCTGGGGTGTGGTCGTGCTGGGGTGTGGTCGTGCTGGGGTGGGGTCGTGCTGGGGGGTGGGCGTGCTGGGGCGTGTCGTGCTGGGTGGTGTCGTGCTGGGTGGGGCGTGGTCTTGCTGGGGCGTGGTCGTGCTGGGGTGGGGTCGTGCTGTGGTGAGGTCGTGCTGGGGTGTGGTCGTGCTGGGGTGTGGTCTTGCTGGGGTAGGGTCGTGCTGGGGTCGGGTCGTGCTGGGGTGTGGTCGTGCTGGGGTATGGTCGTGCTGGGGTGGGGTCGCGCTGGGGTGGGGTCGTGCTGGGGTCTGGTCGTGCTGGGGTGTGGTCGTGCTGGGGTATGGTCGTGCTAGGGTGGGGTCGTGCATTTCGCTCGAGACATCCTGCCCAAATTCCAGGAAATCGTGCAAAAACAAAGGAATTAGTCGAGACATCATCGAAATTCCTTCGCGCGGGGCGCTTTTCCGCGTCGCGGTCGGCTCTGCAAAACAAGCGTTTCGCTCGAGACATCCTCGGCAAACTCTGCGGAGCAAGCGTTTCGCTCGAGACATCCTCAACACACGAAAAAGTGGCCCGCACCCTGTGATTTATCGATCGGGATTTCAAAAACAAGCGTTTCGCTCGAGACATCCTCACATTTTAATTCGCCGGCCTCCTTCGACCTCGTTATTTATCAGGGAAAAAATTCGCCGGCCTCCCTCAAGTTGGCACCGGGGGACAGGTTTACCTACTAAAAGAGAACCCTGGGCCCGCGCCCTTTCCGGGAAAAACGGCTCGCGATGAGAAACCGGTCCCCGGGAAGGGGTCGACACCCCTGGAGGTCGCCGCCAGGAAAGAAGCATGGCGTCGGGGGTCTGGGAGAGGGGCCCCAGGCAAGACGAGGCCAGGACGAGGACAAATTCGGAGAAGGCTGGATTGGAAAGCTTTGAGGCCCTGCGGTTCTGGAGGATGTGTCGGGCGCCGCGGCCCTCTCGGAGCGTTCCAGAGCGCTCTGAGAGCGTGCAGGATCGCCCTGGAACAGCCTTATCCTCGTCCCAGCCCCGCCCGACAAGGACCAGGGGAATGCGCATCCCCCGCTGTTCCTGGGGGTCGGTGCCAGGGCCGTTGCCACGACAATTCAGGGGGCGCAGGCGTGTTGCATGAATTGAGCAGGGACCGACCGTCCCGGCCTTCCTGTAGGCCTACCAAGACATGCTCTTCGAACCCAAATATGCTCTAGTAACAAAACAGTGCTCTTAGAACAGAAACCCGATGTGCTAAAACAAGGCAGTCTCGGACAGAAATGTTCTAAGAACATTTCGTGCGAGCCACAAAAAGGCTATCAGAACATTATTTGGCGGGGCCATGGGCGAACCAGGACGCTTCGCCACTGCTTGCATGCAGGTCGACGCGCGACGACCTGAGGCTCGAGCCGCTTGAGCTGCAGTCGGGCTGCCGACAGAAGGAACGCCAGAGAACGGCGCGCCTCTTGGGCCCCCAGAAGCGCCTTCGCTCGCGAGGAGGCCTGGGAGGAACGGCCACGGAGGGACCTACAACCCCCCCGCGGAACTGAACGCAGGTTTTGCCGACCCCCCACCCCCCCAGTGCCCCCCATTCCAATGTCCAGCTGCGCGCGCGGCGCGGTGCGGGGACGCCGCCGGAAAATTTGAGGTCGCGTGGGTCGGCATCGACACTGACATGTGGGGGTCCTGGGGGCGCCGGCGCAGCGCGGGCAAACTTTACGTTAAGTTCCGCGGAGGGGTGTAGGGAACAGCGGGCCCATTCCGAAGCCAGAGTAGCCCGTGTTTCGGCGTCTTGGCCCTACGAAGCATTGATTGATTGGGCGGGCACGCTCGGAGATCCGCGCGGACCCCTTGGATCGGCGCTGGAGCTCCCTTCGGAGAAGCGCCCGGGTATCTGTTCCTCTCCATGGAACGCAACCCCAGCATGTCCTCTCACGCCTCAGCCAGCGCAGTGAAAGGATTCGCACTGCGATTACAAATTGCCCCCCGCACATGCGACAGCGCTGAGCAAGCTTGCTGCCCGCGGTTCCCTGAGATCCTCCTCCTGCCAAGCATGATCGACCCACGAACCCGGAAAGGAATATAGAAATGTAACGCATGGCAACGGTTTCAAAGACACCTGATTGGGTGACGGGCAACTGCAATGCTGATTGTATCGATCTTGATGTACCGTGCCGAGGGCTGTGCTGTGATGCACCGTGCTGAATTGCGATGTGCCATGCCGCGGTTGTGCTCTATAGCGTCGTGGATCGAGTCTTCCTTTGCATCCGAGTCCTGACCGAACTGATCTGGATCTGAAGCTCGAGCTGCCTGAACACATAGCAGCTGGCCCAGAGCTAATTGACAGGGGGACATGCCAGGAGGACGCGCCGCGAAACGTCCCAAGGGACGCGCCAGGCGACGTGCCAAGGGACGTGCCATGGGGTCGCACCGCGGGACGTGCCAAGGGGACGCGCTACGGGACATCCTCAAAATTCCTGCGCGCCGGACGTGGCACGCGCGAGACATCCCCGGAATTCCTGCGAGCGGGACACGAAAACAAGCATTTCGCCTGAGACATCCTCTGAATTCTGGCCCCCCACGAAGCCCCCGCTCGAGACATCCCCCAAGTTTGCAACACCAGCGTTTCCCTCGAGACATCCTCAACAAATTATGAAAAACAAGCGTTTCGCTCGAGAAATCCTGTCAAAATCCCAAGAAATCCTCGCCAAACAAACAAACGAGACATCCTCGGAATTCCTGCGAGCGGGACGTGAAAACAAGCATTTCGCCTGAGACATCCTCTGAATTCTGGCACCCCACCAGACCCCGCTCGAGACATCCCCCCAATTTTGCAAAACCAGCGTTTCGCTCGAGACATACTCAACAAATTATAAAACATGATGGACCCACGAACCCGGAAAGGGATAAAGACATGTGCAGCATGGTCACGTTTTCACGATACCCAACTGGGCGACATCTCACGAAACATCCCACGAGACACCCCGCGAAACATCCCACGAGACACCTCACGAAAAATTCCACGAGACACCTCACGAAACATTCCACGAGACACCCCGTGAAACATTCCACGAGACACCCCACGAACAGGCAACCACTCAACCAGACACCCCACGAAACATTCCACGGGGGTGCGACTGGGTGTGGTCGTGCTGGGGTGTGGTCGTGCTGGTGTGTGGTCGTGCTGGGGTGGGGTCGTGCTGGGGTGGGGTCGTGCTGGGGTGTGGTCGTCTGGGAGTGGTCGTGCTGGGGGGTGGTCGTGCTGGGGGGTGGTCGTGCTGGGGTGTGGTCGGGCTGGGGGGGTGGTCGTGCTGGGGGGTGGTTGTGCTGGGGCGTGGTCGTGCTGGGGCGTGGTCGTGCTGGGGCGTGGTCGTGCTGGGGTGTGGTCGTGCTGTGGTGAGGTCGTGCTGGGGTGTGGTCGTGCTGGGGTGTGGTCTTGCTGTGGTAGGGTCGTGCTGGGGTCGGGTCGTGCTGGGGTGTGGTCGTGCTGGGGTATGGTCGTGCTGGGGTGGGGTCGTGCTGGGGTGGGGTCGTGCTGGGGTCTGGTCGTGCTGGGGTGTGGTCGTGCTGGGGTATGGTCGTGCTAGGGTGGGTCGTGCATTTCGCTCGAGACATCCTGCCAAAATTCCAGGAAATCGTACAAAAACAAAGGAATTAGTCGAGACATCATCGAAATTCCTTCGCGCGGGGCGCTTTTCCGCGTCGCGGTCGGCTCTGCAAAACAAGCGTTTCGCTCGAGACATCCTCGGCAAACTCTGCGGAGCAAGCGTTTCGCTCGAGACATCCTCAACCCACGAAAAAGTGGCCCGCACCCTGTGATTTATCGATCGGGATTTCAAAAACAAGCGTTTCGCTCGAGACATCCTCAAATTTTAATTCGCCGGCCTCCTTCGACCTCGATATTTATCAGGGAAAAAATTCGCCGGCCTCCTTCAAGTTGGCACCGGGGGACAGGTTTACCTACTAAAAGAGAACCCTGGGCCCGCGCCCTTTCCGGGAAAAAACAAGCGTTTCGCTCGAGACATCCTGCCAAAATTCTAAGAAATCCTTGCAAAACAAGCGAATTAGTCGAGACATCCTCGAAATTCCTGCGCGCGGGACGCGGCACGCGCGAGACATCCTCAGAATTCCTGCGCGCGGGGCGCTTTTCCGCGTCGCGGTCGGGGCTCCAGACCCCGTTATTTGTCGAGGATTATGCGAAAAACGCTCCGCACCCTCTTGTTTACGAGGGGAAACGAGGGTCTGCGGACCCCATTTTGTATCGAGGATCCGAGATGGGGGGCGCACTTTCCTCGAGCGGGCACGCACGAAACGCACTTGCTCGAAAAAATCTGCACTTTACCTCGTTATTTACCAAGAATAATTTCGCTGGCCCTCTTCAAGTCAAAACCGGTGGTAAACCCACTAAAAGAAAACCCTGGGCCTCAGCCCTTTCCGGGAAAAAATACAACATCGCAGAAATCATGCCCGGAGCCCCAGACCCCTCCTTCTGCATCATTTGAGCCGCATCGAAATGTGAGGATCCCAGGGCCCGAAAATTCCCGAAAACGCCCGTTGTGGAAAAATCGCAGCGCCAGGATCTCACGGTTCCCCTCGAAGCGTGCCGACGAGGATGGAGCGGGAGGTCCGCGCGGACCTCCTGGATCGGCGCTGGAGCCCCCTTCGGAGGACCGCGCGGGCATCTTGGAGCGGCCTCGGAGCCCCCCGGCGCGCCTCGCGCGCCAGCGGGTGGGGGGGGTCCAGCGCCGATCCGAGAGAGCCGCGCGGACCTCCGCGGGTCTACGTGTACGCCGTTTACGCCGTACGCTAAGGAAGCGATGTTCACGCCACGCGCTTTCTTAACCAGTTGCCCAGGTCCACATAGCACGAACACTTACGAAGAGAAGATGCTCCAAGAAAACGACCAGGGTCCAGCCCAGATTCTTGACTCTCTCGAGCGAACTCTGGGGGCCCACGAGGGTTTGCGCTTTGTTCTCCAGGTTTCTGATCGGTGCGTTCGGCCTTCGACAGGCGCTGCAGCTGCCTGCGGCTCTCCCGCTGGTCCAGGAAGAAGCCCGTCTTCATGCCCTGCCGCACGTCCACCTCGTAGCGGATGCCGTCCTCCTCCTCCGCCTCCTCCTCCGCCTCCTCCTCCGCCTCCTCCTCCTCCTCCGCCTCCTCCTCCGCCTCCTCCTCCTCCTCCTCCTCCTCCTCCTCCTCCTCCCCCTCCTCCTCCTCCTCCTCCTCCTCCCCCGCCGCACGTCCGCCTCGTAGCGGACGCCGTTCTCCTCGAACTCGAGGGGCTCCCTCGGGGGCGGCTCGCCCCAGAGCACCTCCTCGCCGCCGCCCGCCGTCACCGCTCCTCTCGGCATCGTCGGGCCCAGTCTTAGGTCGGGCCTGTCCCCCTACAGGCCGATTTTGGGCGAAAAATAAAAATAGTCAAACAATGTTCTAAAGTACTCAAAATGGTCAAACAATCGTTCCAGGACTATTTTTGACTATTTTTGAATAGTCCTCCTGTAGAGGGGCACGCTCGACGTAAGCCTAGTCTCATCCGCCGTGGGCCAGGGCTCTCATTTGGCGCCACGCGCCTGCCCCCCATCGAGGACTGCGCTGCTCCCTTCGCACTTGAGGACACCAAGTCCCAGACATGATCTCGAGCACCCAGAGGAAGAAGTATCCAAGCAGTGTCGAGCGAGCATCGCTGCCCAGAGCCCGACGCGTGCAAACCCTTCAGGCTCAGTATTTCCTTGGTGCTCGAAATTATTTCTGGTGGTTCAGGCCGGAGTAGGTCGGAACATCATAGATCGAGGAAGGGATGTAAGCCGCGAAGCCCGACGAGAAGGGCAGCCTACTCGGGGGGGGCAGGCCGGACAGCGCGGCCAAGGCTTCCACAGCGGGGGCGGAGATGGGTCTGACAGCGCTGAGCTCTCGGGAGGGAGAAGAAACCGGGCCCTTGACAAGCTACTCCCTGGACCTCTCCCGTGTGCGCTTTGCCCACGCCTTCGAGGCTGAATCCGGCAGTGGCGGCGAGAGAGGACTGGCGGCAGCGGCATATTTTCCTTCCCCGAGTCCTGCGTTGCTCCCATCGCACTTAAGGACCACATCCCAGAAATAATTTCGAGCACCCAGAAAAGTGTCGAAAGAGCGTCGAAACAGTGTCGAAACAGTGTCGGACGAGTGCCGCCCAGGGCCCGACACATGAAAACCCTAGAGTTTCGGGACTTTTCTTCTGGTGCTCGAAATTCTTTCTGGTGGTCAAGGCTGCAGTAGGTTGGAATATCATAACCCGAGTCCTCGAAGCGAAAGCGAAAGCTGGTGTATACGGGGCCCTGGTGTATGCGTTCTTCGTCGTTTCCCCATGAACACGGGGAGAAAAGTATACACCACACCACCCCGACGTCGTCCCCGACCCTCAAAAAGTCCTGGGATTGAAAAACCACCCGCCACTGGTCATGTTTTTTTCTGCTTCGCTCACTCTTTGCCTGGTCACCATCAGAGCTCGGGCGGGCACGTCCTCGCTGGCGCAGTGGCGGTCTCTTCGTGCTGCGTGGGGGGTGGCTCATGCCGTCGAGTCACCCTCGCATCGGCAAGCAGAGGGCACAGCTGCTCCAGACGCGCCGCCGCTTACGAGCAGCTGAATCCCGCCGTGGCTCGCGGTCGCTGCCAGTGGACGCGAAAGTGGCGGCACACCGTACGACAGTGTCTCCCCCAGGCCGCCCCTGGGCGGTGAACGTGGACCTACAGGTGGGCAACACGAAGGAAGAAGAAAGCAATGAGTTTACCCGCCACTGGTAATGTATACGCTCTAGTTGAGGAGGGGGTGGGGGAGGAGGAGGAGGAGGAGGAGGAGGAGGAGGAGGAGGAGGAGGAGGAAGTGGAGGAAGTGGAGGAGGACGAGGAGGAGGAAGTGGAGGAGGAGGAGGAGGAGGAGGAGGAGCCAAAGAAAGAATACAAAAAAAAAAGAAATAAAAAAAAAAATAATAACAAACAACAAAAACAATCCAAAAAAGAAAACAAAAAAGAAAGAGGAATAAAAATAAAAACCCCAAAGACGAAAGATAAAAAGAAAAATGAAAAAAAAAGAGAATAAAAAGATAAGAAAAAAAAAAAAAGAGAAAACAGTTGGGAACAAAAAAATAAAGAAAAACAGAGAAAGAAAAAAAAGAAAAAAAGAAAGAAGAGAAAAAATAAAACAAAAAAAGAAAAAACAAAAGAGGAAAAAAAAAAATGAACAAACAGAAAAAAAAAAAAAAAGGAAAAAACAAACAAAAAAGCCAAACTTTCTCCCCGAGTCCTCGAAGCCCGTGGCCGCCCTCCGCGAGCCCCCGGGCCACGGCGCCCAGCAGCGGGCGCCAGAACGCCTCGCACGCCGCGCCGTCGAACCGCACGACGCCGAAGCCGCTGGCCCGGGTGCCGCCAGGACCGTGGATGCCATGACAATGGACACCCTAACAGTCCTATCATTAAGTCGGGCCTGTCCCACTACAGGGGGATCTTCGACGAACAATAAAAGGAAACAAACTACAAAATGTTCAAAACATACTCAAAAAATAGTCCCCTGACTATTTTTAACTATTTTTAATTTTACCCCTGTAGAGGGACAGGCCGGACTTACCAGTCCTATCATTGAATTTAAAGATGTGTTTAAAATGTCGGAAACATGTTCCAAACATATTTCAAACCTGTTTGCTTTCCATGCTTAAAACATGTTCAGCACATGGTCTAGACATCTGGAAATTATTCGGCAGCACGCCTCGTCTCCACAGCGCCAGAAGTGCTCCTGGCCCACGGTGCGCCCGCTGGGCCCCCCGAGGCACTTCCTCCGGGGCCCTCTGGCCCTCGTGTCACGGCGGCAAAGGGAGACAGCTAGTGAACACCCCCCCTGCCCCTTAGTGGGCCCTGGAAACGACAGGGCCGATTTTTTACCGGTTCCGGTTTGCTGTTTTTTTGCCGGTTCCGACGCCGTCTTTTTACCGGCTCCGTCGCCGTTCTTTTACGGGTTCCCGCTCCGGTTCCAATCCTGGAGCCGTTTTTGTTGCTGTTTCCGGTCGCCGTTTTTTTGCCGTTTCCATTTTCAAGGGACACTTCTTCGGAAACGGTGAAAAAACGGCCCTGCCATCTCCGGGGCCCACTGAGCCCTGCCCCCCAAACTCAAAGTTGGCACGCGCGGGGGAGACTGCGGTCGAGGTGCAACTCACCAGGCCCACCGCCACCTTTGCACAGCGGGGGGGAGGGGGAGGCGTGGACAGATGGATGCGGCCAGAAGTGCTCCTGGCCCACGGTGCGCCCCGTGGGACCACGAAGCGCTGTGCTGGGTGGTGGACGACGCGTGCGGGCGGTCCCACTGGGGCCTTCTGCAGAGCCTCCCTGTGGAGCCACGAAGCGCTGTGCTGGGTGGTGGACGGCGCGCGCGGGCGGCCCCACTGGGGCCTCCGGTGGAGCCCCCCTGTGGGGCCACGAAGCGCTGCGCTGGGTGTTGGACGACGCGTGCGGGCGGTGCCACTGGGGCCTCCGGTGGAGCCCGCGGGGCCGTCCGAGGCACTTCCTCTGGGGCCCTCCGGCCCTCGTGTTCGGTCGGGCACGTGCCCCTGCAGGCGGATCTTGGGCGGAGGATGAGAAAGAGCCAAAAGATATGCAAACATAGTCAAAGAGCAGTCGAAAAGAATACCCGGACCATTGTTTGGCTGTTTTTGCAGCTTCCTCCTGCAGAGGGGCAGGCCCGACCTCACCCTCGTGGGGTGCTCCAGAAGCCACCTGCGCCAAACCCGCGAGAGCGGCCCAGGCATCCGACGGCACGGCTGCCGCAGCGCGCGCGGCCTGCTGCCCGGGGCCAGCCTCTCGCCCCAGATCCGTGCTCGACTGTTTCCTGTGGGCCGAAGATGAAGGGGAACTGGGACACACAAATAAATAGACACGAATAAAAGGATTCCCCATCTTTTCCCATCTTCTCTGGGTTTCTGTCTTCCCCCCCACTTCCCATATTTTCCCGGGGATCGACGATGAATTGTGTCTGTGTGTGTTGTTTCCCCTCCTGAGAAGAGGGGCCTCACGGACCGACATCGAGGAAGACCACCACCAGATCGTCGGAGATCGGGGGCCTGCGCCCCACCCCGCGAACGCTGGGGCCACCTAACAGCAGGAGCTCGACCACAGGAGGCCTCCCACGAGAGACCCAACCTGCAGCAGGAGCTCGACCACCTGCAGCAGGAGCTCGACCACAAGAGGCCTCCCACAGGAGACCCAACCCTGAGACTTATGCTGCTCCCGTCGGCCCCAGAAATAAGTTCGAGCACCCGGAGAAGTATCGAAAGAGTGCAGAAAGAGTGTCGAAACGGTGTCGAAGCAGTGTCTCCCAGGGCCCGGCACGTGCAAACCCTCTGGCTTTCCTGTACTTCTCTGGCGCTCGAAACTATTTCTGGAGGTCAAGGCTAAAGTAGGTTGGAACATCATGGCCTGAGACCCCCAGGCGCCCATCGCTCTTTGGCGTGCGCAGGCCGCGCCCTCCCTAGCAAGACCACAGAAGCCCAAGAGAAGCCCAGGGCACCCTGGAGGCGCGCAGGGTGCTTCTTGGCACGGGCCTCCACTGCAGCGTCGGAGATCTGCGCCTGCGCCACCCCGCGAAACGCGGAGTGGGAGGAGGAGGGGGAGGAGGAGGAGGAGGAAGGAGGAGTAGGAGGAGGAGGAGAGGAGGAAGAAGAAGTGGAGGAAAAAGGGGAGGAGGAGGAGGGGGAGGAAGAAGAAGTGGAGGAGGAGGAGGGTGAGGAGGAAAAGTGGAGGAGGAGGAGGAGGAGGAGGATTTTCGGGTTGTAGGAGGAGTTAGTATATGGGGGAAGATGATAGGAGGTAAGGAGGAAGGTGAGGAGGCTGTGATGATGAGGAGTATGATTGGATGGTTAGTAGGAGTGATGAGGATGGTATGAGGATGCTAGAGTAGTCAGAAGTGGAGGAGGAGGAGGAGGAGGAGGAAGCGAAAGCTGGGGCCACCATGTGGGCCCGGGGCCACCCCTGGCGGCACCCGGGGCTGTACGCGTCGATCACCAGCCCGGGCGCCCAGTCGCTCTCGCCGTGCAGCAGCCGGACGCCCGAGCAGGCTGCCAGCCGGGGGTCGTCCCGGCGCCTCTCCGCGGCGGCGCGGGCGATGCGGAGGGCCCAGCGGTCGCCTGGCCGGCTCCGAAGCCACGGACCCGGACCCCCTTTTTGGAGGCCTGGAAATTTTGGTGGTCTCCAAACCAGGTGGTGAGACACCCGGTGGTGACCCCGATTCCCCCCAAAAATAATTCTGGGTCACCACCGGGTTTGGGGACACGCGGTCGCCAAGAGGTTTTGCGTTTCCTGGGCCAGCCAGCGCTCGAAAACCATTACCCAAATCGCCCAAAACTCACCACCGGGTGTTCTCACCACCACGTTTGGGGACCACCATAAATTGGCACCAACACCAGCACAGGGGGCTGCCTCCGCATGGGGAAGATGATCCTGGATTTCGGTGTTGGTGGCAACAGTTCGGCCACCGTGGAAGCCAGAACATTACCACCATCGCCGAGATCGGGATCGCCTTCCCTCGGTGGAGGCACACCGCCGATCTTGGTGTTGGTGTCAACCTCTAGGCCTGCGACCTTTGACTTATCAAAAAATCACGGTGGGAGAAATTGTTCCTTGTTTTCGCCCTCTGGGGGGCCCTTACTGGGCCGCGGGACCGGCAAAAAACGACCTGGGATGAAAAACCGGCCCCTGGGAATGGGTCGAGACCCTTGAAGTCGCCGTCATGAGAAGAAAAAAATGACGCCGGGGGTCTGGGGATCCAAGAGAGTGACCATATAGTGGACACATACTAGAGGTCAAACAATCCACCCCGATAGGAACCACCCCGACACGCTACGCCGTGTAGTAGACGCGCCGGGAGAAGGACTTGAACAGGGCAGGGCTGTTTAATAAACGCCCAGGGCCGTTTAGCAGACGCCGATTATCGGGTCCGGATGGTCTTTCCTCCCTTGACTGAAAGGAGCCATGGGACACACAAATAAATACACACATATACAAGGATCCCCCATGTTTCCCATATTTCCTTAGTTTTTGTCTTCCCCCCTCTTCCCATACTTTCCCATATGTTCCTGGGAGTGGACGATTCATTAATTGTGTCTGCGTGTTTTTTCCCTCCTGAAAAAACTGCCATGATGAAGGATCTTGGGGCATATTCGTCGAGCAGTGAGAAACTTGAGGTGCCCCAGAGCTTCTGCGGGCCACGGGGACCAGGGCACGAGGAACTCCCGCGGGGCACCTGGCGGCAGGCCGGTGTCATATTTCGTGCGCCAGCTTTCGGCGACACGCAAGAGTGGCCCTCAGCAAGAGTGACCTAGGGTGCGCGGCTTGAGGGGGCCGCGGGAAGGCTAATCCCAAGCGTGCGGGCTAATGGTGAGGGAACCCCTGTGGGTCCGCACCAGAGGTCGCCGTGGCGAAAGCTTACTCTTACGCGTAGCCGACTACTGCATCTTGGATGTGTTTACTGCACCATGTCCTCAGCGGCCGCCCCTCCCTGCCTTGTCCTTCCCTTGCTGCCGGCAAGTTGGTCTGCGGTGCGCCCCCGGCAACTCGAACGCGCGAGCGGATTGCCTCTGCTGCGCCGCGACGAAAAAGTGCATCTTCGATGAATGCTGTATGTGCGTCTCTGCATTTCGTGTGCAATGAGGAACGCTGAGCTCTTTTGGCACCAGAAGAGCTGGGGTGCACGAGGTGGACTAGAGAAGCAGCCACGGAATGACCTAAGGAACAGCGAGCCCCCTCCGAACCCAAAGCGGTCCATATTTCAGCGTCCTGGTACTACAGCACAGTGATTGATTGAGCAGGCACCCTCGGAGGTCCGCGCGGACCTCTTGGATCGACGCAAAAGGCCTCCTCCTCCTCCCTCGTCCCTCCTCCCTCCTCCCCTCCTCTTCTTCCTCCTCCTCCTCCTCCTCCTCCTCCTCCTTCTCCTCCTCCTCCATCCCCTTTCCTCATACATAACTTCTCCCTGTCGCACCACGAAGCCAGTTTTTGGGGCGAGCTGGGCGTTTCGCATGAGACTTCCTCACCACGTATGACTCTGAGGCTTAAAAGTCGGCAACAGCTTCACCGATGGAGGGCGGATCGTTTTCAAAATGTGGCCCTCTTCTTAGCGCCGCGCACATTCGTCAAAACAAACTGCAACAGCTTCACGGATTGAGGGCGAGTCGTTTTCGAAATGTGGTTTTCGCCTTAGCGCCGCGCACACTCGTCTTCGACATTTGCATCGGTTTCACGGATTGGAGGCGGTTCCTTTTCAACATGTGGCTCTCGCCTTAGCGCCGCGCACATTCTTTTCAAGCAATTTGCAAGAGCTTCACGCATTGAGGCCGGGTTCCTTTTCAAAATGTGGCTCTCGCCTTAGCGCCGTGCACATACGTTTCTTAACTGTGCAAGAGTTTCACGGATTCCCATGATCAACGTACCAGAAATAGTGTTTTGGCGGGATTTATGATTATGCGGTTACAGCAGTTACGTTGGTTCGCGGTGTTGAAGTCCCACGAATGGCGGTCTGGCACGATTTCGGATCGTCAAGACGCAATAGTAAGGTTGATCCGAGGCGTTGGAAACCGGAGAACAATTCCCTAATCAGAGCTTGCCTCTGTAGGGGTTCTAGCGCATTCATATGGTTAGGTGAAGTACGGCGCCGATTTCGGCGGCACGCCCGGGTGCCCAGGTGCCTAGGTGCCTGGGTGCCCGGGTGAGATGCGCCGCCGATTCCCGCGCGCGGGTGCCCGGGTGCTCGGGTGCCTGGGTGCCTGGGTGCCCAGGTGCCCGGGTGCCCGGGTGCCAAGGTGCCCGGGTGCCCAGGTGCCCTGGTGACTGGGTGCCCGTAGCCCTATAGCCCTATCGCCCTATAGCCTTATCGCCTTATAGCCCTATAGCCCTATAGCGCTATAGCCCTATAGCTCTATAGCCTCACTGGCCCCATAGCCCTAATAGCCCTACAGCCCTGTAGCCCGATGGCCCTATAGCCCTATAGCCTTATAGCCCTAGAGCTTATAGCCCGATAGCCCTATAGCTCTATAGCCCTATAACCCTATCGCCTCATAGCCCTATAGCCCTGTAGCCCTATAGCCCTACAGCCTTATAGCCCTACAGCCCTAGCCCTATAGCCCTATAGCCCTACAGCCCTATAGCCCTATAGCCCTATAACCCTATAGTCCTATGGCCCTATAGCCCTATAGCCCCATAGCCCCATAGCCTTATACCCCTATAGACCTATAGCCCTATAGCCCCATAGCCTTATAGCCCTATAGCCCTATAGCCCCATAGCCTTATAGCCCTATAGCCCTATAGCCCTATAGCCTTGTAGCCCCATAGCCCTGAACAGGCTACGATTGGGCTTTTCTCCGGTATCATGTTTATGCATGCTTCAGGGCCTTCAACAGGTTGTCTTTCGACAAAGCGTTGCCTCAATGGAAATGAACCGTTATAGGGGCCTGTGAAGAGGGAGCTTGGAGGGAGGGTTGATTCCAACATCGTTGATGACTCCTGGGCTTACGCTGGTCCTCCTCCTCCTCCTCCTGCTCATCATCATCATCCTCATCATCATCATCATCACCACCACCACCACCACCACCACCACCACCATCATCATCATCATCATCATCATCATCACCAAAATCATCATCATCATCATCATCATCATCATCAGCATCACCACCACCATCATCACCATCATCATCATCAGCATCATCATCAGCATCATCATCAGCATCACCACCACCATCATCACCATCATCAGCATCATCATCACCATCATCATCATCATAATCATCATCATCATCATCATCATCATCATCATCATCATCATCATCATCATCAGAACCGTTCTGGCTCAAGCTCGTCGTGCTGCCGGCCCCGCCGCCGCGCGTCCCGATGCCGGGCTCGTCCGCGGATGCCGGACCTGCGTACGCCGCTGCGCCGCTGGAGGCCGTGCGCGGCGCGGCCCTGGCGGCGCACGCCACCGCAGGGCTGCCCAGCAGCGCTGAGCTTCTCGAGAAGTGGCTCGACTCGCTCGTGCAGCCGAAGGTCTGCTCCCGGGCGGCGGTGGCCGCGCTGGCCGGGCCCACCCGTCGGCGCCCGCTGCGGCGCGCTCGGCGGAGCCCGCGGATGCCCCTCGGCGGCGGCGTCGGCCCCGTGGCCGCGGTGGCGTGCTGCGCATGGAGGTGGATGGCAAGCAGGACGTCGCACCTGGAAGTATGAACGTCGATCGTGGGGCGGCTTGGACTGCAGCTCCGGGGGCTGCTGCATCCGCGTGCCAGTGCTGGAGGACGACAGCTGGGCTGATCTGCCTCTGGTGCAGCAGCGGAGCCGCCCGCCTTCCAGCACAGCTTCGCGCGAGGGCAAGGGCAAGAGCACGGGCAAAGGCGACGAGTACAGTGGCAAGGGCAGGCATGCTGGATTGGAGATCTGGCAGCTTCGGCAGCTCGTCGACCGCCTGGCGAAGCGCGCGAGGCTGCCCATTGTGCCAGAGCAGATCCCCCTCGGCCGCGAGGAGCGGATCGCAGTGGCCTGCAACTTCAATGAGCTGCAGTCCGCGCATGGCGGCTCCAGCGCGGGCCGCGGCTCTGGCACGTGATAGCCGAGCCGTGCTGGTGCCTGGCTCGGCGGGCTGCACGTCGGCAACAGCAAGTCCGTCGTGGTGGAGGTCGGCACGATGACGGTACTCGGCCTCGTGAAAGCCGTGGGCCGCTTCGTGTTCGCGGTCGGGGGGTCCTGGCTCCTCAGGTGGAGCCAGGGCTTCCGCGGTGGGGCCGCGCGGGAACCCGCGGTCCGTCGCTCGCTCCTCCTCATCCTCCTCCTCCTCCTCCTCCTCCTCCTCGGCCCTCTCCTCCGTTCCTTCTCCTTACCCATAACTTATCCCTGTTGCACCCCGAGCAAGTTTTTGGGGCGGGCCGGACGTTTCGCCTGAGACGTCCTCACCACTTACGGCCCTGAAGCTGCAACATTAGCAACGGCTTCACAGATGGAGGCCGGGTCGTTTTCAACATGTAGCTCTCGCTAGCGCCGCGCACATTCGGTCAAAAATCGTGCAAAAGCTTCACGGATTGAGGGCCGCCCGTTTTCAAAATGTGGCTCTCGCCTGAGCGACGCGCACATTCATTCTGAAACTTCGCAAAGGTTTCATTGCTTGAGGGTCACCCGTTTTCAAAAGGTGGCTCTCGCCTTAGATCCGCGCACATTCTTTTTAAACATGTGCAAGAGCTTCACGGATTGAAGGCCGTTCCTTCTCAAAATGTTGCTCTCGCCCTAGCGCCGCGCACTTTGGTTCATTATTTCGTAAGCGTTTCACGTATTCCCATGATCGACGTACCAGACATGGCATTTTGGAAGAATTCCGGACTCTGAGGGTGCAACAGTTGCGCTGATTCGCGGTGAAGTTCGAGGAATGGCGTTCTGGCACGACTCAGAATCGTTGATTCGCAGCAGTCCGGTTGATCCGTGGCGTTGGAATCCCGAGAACAATGTTTTGGCATGCTTCCAGGTCTTCAAACGGTTGTCTTCCAATAAGGCAATTCCCTCAGCGGAAATGAGTCGATACAAGTGCCTATGAGCAGGAAGCTTGGAGGAAGGGTTGATTCCAACATCGTTGATGACTCTTGGGTTTACACTGGTCCTCCTCTTCCTCCTCCCGATTCTTTTGGGCTGTTATAGAATCAACATGGTGTGAGTCGCGGGGTGGGTCGCGGGTGGGTCGCGGGGTGAGTCGCGAGTCGCGGACGGGTCGCGGGGGTGACGACGACGACAACAACGCAACGCAACAACATGCAGAATCCGCGCTGCGGACTCCCACTTCAGCCACGCACCTAGGGACAGTTAATGACCGTTCGGCGACCTCGCTCTGATGTACGTGGAGTGGGTTGCGGGTAAGTCGCAGGTGGGTCGGGGGTGGGTCGCGGATGGGTCGCGAGGTGGGCCGCGAGTGGGTCGGCGAGTGGGTCACGCGGTGGTGGGACTCCCCTAAACCAATGCAATGAAGCCCGGCGCAGGCGCCGATTCTTTTTGGCTGTTATAGAATCAACATGGTGTGAGTCGCGGGGCGGGTCGCGGGGTGGGTCGCGGGGGTATAGGGCAGAGGGTGGGGTCGCGGGGTGGGTCGCGGGCGCGTGGGCCGCGAGTCGGTCGGCGGGTGGGTCGCGCGGTGGTGGCACTACCCTAACCAAAGCAATGAAGCCCAGCGCAGGCGCCGATTCTTTTTGGCTGCTATAGAATCAACATGGTGTGAGTCGCGGGGTGGGTCGCGGGTGGGTCGCGGGGTGGGTCGCGAGTGGGTCGCGCGGTGGGTGGGTCGAGGGTGGGTCGCGGGTGGGTCGCGGGGTGGGTCGCCGGTGGGTCGCAGGTGGGACGCTGGTGGGTCGCGGGCGGGTCGCGGGGTGGGTCGCGGGCGGGTGTGTCGCGGGCGGGTGGGTCGCGGGTGGGTCGCGGGTGGGTCGCGTGGGGGGTGCGGGGTGGGACGCGGGGTGGGACGCGGGGTGGGATGCGGGGTGGGTCGCGGGTGCGGGTGGGTCGCGGGTGGGTCGCGGGCGGGTCTCGGTGGGGACGACGCAACAAACCAACAAGCAGAATCCTCGCCGTGGATCCCCACTTCAGCCATGCACCCAGGGACAGTGAATGACCGTTCGGCCCCCTCCCTCTGACACATCCACTGCTGCTTGGCCAGGCCCATCCTGAACCCAGCAGCGGCGTACACGCCACACCCTCCTGGCTAGGCCAGGAGGCCGTGTACGCAGCTCCTGGGCCCAGGCAGGGCCCAGCCAGGGAGCAGTAGGAGGGGGAGGAGGAGAAGGGGGGGGAGGAGGAGGAGAGAGGAGGAGAGAGATGAGGAGGAGGAGAAGAGGAGGAAGAAGGAGGAGGAGGGAGGGAGGATAGATTCCGTCGCCCGACCCCCATTCCTGCTGGGGCGCCCCACGGGGGCCTGGCAGCTCAGAGAGGTCCCAGGACAGCAGGCGCACCCGCAGCGGTGAGTCTGGGTCGTAGAAGCCGTACGCCAACGTCCGCTTTTTCCACGCGACCGCGACGACGCCCCCCGGCGGCGCGTCCGCGCCACCCCTCACCGATCCGTCGAAGAGCCACGGGTGCTGGTCCCTCGTTTCGAGTACGAGATCAACTGCAGAGTTGCTCTGGATCTACGAGCAATACGTTGAGCTTCCGTAGACCTACGAACCGTTTACGCTAGAGGCCCGCCGCATCGCCAATGCATCGCCGATGTCTCGGCGGTGCATCGGCGGTGCATCGGCGGTGCCTCGGCGATGCATCGGTGACGTCGGCGTGGGGAAACAGGGGCTCCACATCGACCCACATCGCCGATACACTGGCGATACAGCGCCGTCCGCCGACCCCATCTACTCCGACCGCATCCAAGAAGCCTAGATACGGTGGGGGCATTGGATAAGGAACCCTTAGATAAGGAATCCAGGGTCTGGAGGCCAGTGGAACTCCAATCGAGGCTGGGCCATGGATATCAACGCCGCCCTCATCAGATGAGGAATCCTCCAGGGCCTGCAGCATTCTGGGCGCATTCCTTAACCACCGCCCCGGCCGTTCGTATGCTCGTAGATCCTGCGAGAAAAATACATGCGGTGCAACGCAATTCTTAGAAGAAGACAAAACCACATAGACATAAACTTTTGGCGCTCCGCGCGGATTTCTTGGGTTCGCGCTGGACCCCCCTCCCTGGCGCGCGGAGCGCGCCAGAGAAGGGGCGCCGGAGGTGCCGCCGGGGGGCCCAGGCGCGGATCCAAGAAGTCCGCGCGGAGCGCCAGAAAAGTGTATGTTTATGTTTTCTTGTTCGTCCTCGAGTTCTGAGGTCGATCTCCTGCTCGACCCTCCCTGGATGGACGGAGGCCGGTCCACGCCGAGGGAGGGGGCCGCCAGGGGGCCACCAGCTCCTCTTCCTCGGCGGGGAGGTCCCCCTCGGGGCAACCTGCGCCGCTCCGAGCCCCCGGACCTCCCCAAGCACGTCCAGAACCCTGTGGATGCCATGGCAGTGGACACCCTGACAGTCCTGTCGTCGAGCCATGGCTGTTCTAAACATGTGTGGGCATGTTCTACAAGTGTTTAAAGCATGCTTTTTTTTATGCACGTGTGTAGAGCATGCTTAACACAGTTTCAGACATCCGGAAACTATTTGGCAACACGCTTCCTCTCCATTGATCGTCCTCCACAACCAGAACCCTGGTTCCACCCCCCGATCCTCGAATCCCGCTCCCTAAGAGGAGCTGCCGACCCCCGTGTGGTGAGACCCCCCCCTTGGCATCGACTGAGGAGCAAGGGCCCTGGCAGAAACGGGCACTGGACCCCAGGCCTTCCACCGGGACCCGTTACTCATAACCAGCCTCGCGCTTATCCCTACTCGTAAGATTGACAAGCCAAGAGGCGATGACAATCTCAGGGCTGCGCCCTCAGCACCTAAGAGGATCCTGAAGATCGGCATCGAGGCAAGGCGATGCCAATCGTAGGGATAGGGATCTGCTTCAGGCTCGTAAATTCATCCCGTATCTTTATTTTGTTTACGGCCCTCGGGGAGCCCAGGGAGGGCCCAAAGAGGCCAAGAACGGCGAACTTGAGGGAACGACTAACCCAGTACGTACGCACATCGAATCGGAACTTTGTTGTGCCATGTTTGAAATGCACTGCCGGTATACTACGGTACGCTGGTCTACGATACACGAATGCGAAAACGATCTGAAATTAAGAAAGCGACAAAGCAGAGCCCCGCGATCGTCAAAAAGAAGGCAGTGATTTCTGAGGCAAAGCCATCCGCGGGAAGCAGCTAACGAGGAAACCCGATGTCACGCATCGCTCCCTCCTCCTCCTCCTCCTCCTCCTCCTCCTCCTCCTCCTCCTCCTCCTCCTCCTCCTCCTCCTCCTCCTCCTCCTCCTCCTCCTCCTCCTCCTCCGCTCCTCCTCCCCCTCCCCTGCCCCCCCTTCTGCCCACCGCTCCTTCTGCTGGTCGCGGATGTGGCGCCCCCCACCAACAGTCATCAGGGGGCGGCCCTCACTTAGACGGGTCCGTTGCGCTTCACGCTGCACACGCACGCGCGGGCGGGCTCGACCCACCGCCGCCTCTCGGAGGAGGACCGCGCCCGCTGCGCGATCATCCCCGAACTCGCAACTGCTGGGCCGCCGTCCCGTGAAAAGCTGCCGGCAGCTCAGCGCCAGGGCGCCGGCAGCCGTCGAGCTGCTATCATCTCTCGAGATCAAGAAGAATAAAACGAAGAAGAAGAAGAAGAAGAAGAAGAAGAAGAAGCAGCAACATCTGCAAAAGAAACACGAGCTTTCGAAGGATCGCGCGGGATTCTTGGATCGGCGCTGGGGCCCCCTCCCCAGGCGCTCGAAGCGCGCCAGGGAGTGGCGCCAGAGGTGCCGCCAGGGGGCTCCAGCGACGATCCAAGAAATCCGCGCGGACCTCCGAAAGTTTATATTTATGCGGTTTTGCTCGTCGAACTTCGACATTCGTTGTAACTGCCTGTGGCTCTCCCGCTGGTCCAGGAAGAAACCCGCACGTCAGCCTGTTGGTTCTTGTTGTTCGTGTGTTTGCTTATGACTCTGCCAATTAAACGTGTGCGCGTCCCGCGTAGCTTTCAGCGGAAGAGGTTCGCCCTCGCCCTGCAGATCAACAAAAACAAGTTTGTTTATGACTGCTGCTCTTGCTCTTCTTCATGTATGTTTGCTCTTTTTGCGGCTCTTCCCCCAGCTCATGGGCGAGGGCCCACGCAGGGAGCCGCCAGGCTGCCCTCTGTTTCCCGACCGGCCGCCTCGTGAGCTGGCGGTACAGTCGGACCTAGGCCATAAGAACATCCCTCAAGAACATGAGACCCTCTGCCAGCCAAGACAAGCAGCACATCCGAGGGCACCCTCCCCAGGATGGATGCACCAGAACACACAACGGACACGAGGAACACCAGGGCACCCTCCCTGAACCGACCTCGATCGTGTACCTCTTCTGAGATCCGACGCTGCACACAAACTGCAACGTCGCAAAACATCGCGCCTGGAGCCCTGGACCCCCTCTCCCTGCGCCAGTTGGTCGAGCCCCGTCGATCTGTGAGAGCCCCGGAGCCCGACGTGGGGCGAAGGCGCCCGCTGCCGCAAGACCGCGAGAGGCCAGGATCGCAGGGCCGGCCCGACGGACTCTGGCAGACGCCGGCGGCAGGCCGACGGCAGCCGGCCGCGCCGCCGCCCCGCCGTGCCGCCGCCCGGGCCTCCGAGGGCCACCCTGGCAAGAGGCCTCCGGCGCCAGGGCGCGCGCGGCCCCCCGGCCGGGCCGGCGGACCTCTGCGCCTCGGCCGGGCCGCTGCCGCGCGCCTTCGCGGCGCCGCGGGCCGCCGCGGCGAGGGGCTCCCGGCGCCTCCTGGCACGGCGCCTATCAGGGCCTCCCCCCCCCCGCCGACGCGCCCTCGTCGGGCGGGCGGCGCCGCGCCTCGGCCGATCCGCCCCCGCGGAGGGGTCGCCGGGCCCCGCCGGGGCCGCCGCGGCGAGGAGCTCTCGGCGCCTCTCTGGCGTGGCGCCCTAGGAGGGTCGACCCCCTCCCTGCTCGGGCGCCAGCCCTGGCCTCGCAAGGGGCCCCCGCAGGGGCCCGCAGCGCAAGCTCCACCAGTGCGGTGCGGGAGCGGGGCGGTATAAAGTCGGGCATATCCCGCTACAGGAAAATTTGCCCAAAACTAATTCATGAATCGTAGGGGGGCGATTTCTCCACTTTCCTTGATCATTCTCGAATCTGCTCTAACGCTTCTCTCTCTCTCTCTCTCTCTTTCTTCCACAATCCGCCTGTGGGAGGACATGCCCGACATAAGGGCAGTGGCGCGCCGTGTGTGGGAGCAGCGCTCGCTGTGAGTGCGCTCCCCCGCCGTCCTCTGCTGCCCGGCTGGGCGCTCTCCCGCCGCCGCCGCAGGCGCAGGGCGCGGCGCGCGCTGCAGAGCAGCGCTCGTGGGCCCGTGCGCGTGTGCGGCTCTGGCAGCGGGCGCAGGTCCTGGCCGAGAAAGGCGCGCGCCAAAGTGCTGTAGCCTGCGCCGCTAAATCGCTGGTCCTCCTCCTCCTCCTCCTCCACCTCCACCTCCTCCTCCACCTCCTCCTCCACCTCCTCCTCCTTCTCCTCCTCCTCCTCCTCCTCCTCATCCTCCTTCTCATTCACCTCCTCGTCCGAACCAGGAGACTCCAGCGGCGCCCCAGAGCCCAGGCGCCCGGCAGAGTAGAGTGGAAGCCCGCGGTGGGCCGAGCGCGACTCCGGGCGGCGTGCCAACGCTGGCGCTCCAGGCGCGCTGAGTCCTCCTCCTCCTCCCTCCTCCTCCTCCTCCTCCTCCTCCTCCTCCTCCTCCTCCTCCTCCTCCTCCTCCTCCTCCTCCTCCTCCTCCTCCTCCTCCTCCTCCTCCTCCTCCTATGCGGCCCCTGGGGAGGCCAGCTGCCAGCTGGCTGCGTCTGGGCCGCCGCAAGAGCTCAGGCTCGCCTGGTACTCGAAGCTGGAAGCACTCCGACAGACGGTTCCGATTTTGTCGTGCCGTTGCGCGAGCAGCTCCTGCATGCGC